CTTCTAATTCGAGATAGTTTAAATGCTATAACTGTCACAAGTTGGGCCATCTTGCCCAAAATTGCATAAATAAGAAAAGCCTGTTCTACAAGCAAATCTTGTTGAAGAGCAATTGATTGCAATGATATCAGATATCAACCTAGTTGATGGGGGGTGGTGGGTGCACGCTGATGCTTCTCATTATATTTGCTATGATCGTTCTCTTTTCAAGATCTATTATGTGGTTGAGGGAAGGAATGTGTTGTTGGGTGATTCGCACTCAACTGATGTTGCTGGTATTGGAGAGATGGAGTTGAAGTTCACCTCTGTAAAAACCATGATACTAAAAGATGTGATGCATGCTCCAGCGATAAGGAAGAATCTGGTCTCGGGCTTTATTCTTGACAAGGCTAGATTCACTCAAACCATTGGAGCATATACGTATACTCTTACTAAAAATGGGATCTTTGTGGGAAATGAATATGCTACTGATGGAATGTTTAAATTGAATGTTGATGCTAATAAAATGTCTGCTTCTACTTACATGTTGTCTTCTTTTAATATTTGGCATGCTAGACTTTGTCATGTTAACAAACACTTGGTTAAGAACATAAGTAACTTAGGCTTTTTACCCAACTTATCATTGAATGATTTTGAAAAATGTGAATATTGTAGTCAAGCTAAAATCACTAGAACTTTGCATAAATTTGTCAATAGAGAATCTGAACCACTTGACTTAATTCATTCCGATATATGCGAATTTGATAGAGTGTTAACTAGAAATGGAAAATTTTATTTTATTACCTTTATTGATGATTGTTCAAATTATTGTTTTGTCTATCTTATGAAAAATAAAAGTGAAGCTATTGACATGTTCAAAATTTTCTTGACTGAAGTTGAAAATCAATTTAATCGTAAGATTAAAAGATTTCGTAGTGATAGAGGACAAGAATATGAATCCACTAAATTCGTTAATTTGTTTAAGTCTCATGAAATTATTCATGAAACTACTGCTCCTTATTCTCCTGAAATGAATGGTAAAGCGAAAAGAAAAAATCGAACGGTTTGTGAATTGAATGTTGCTACTTTACTTAGTTATGGAGCTGCTTCTTATTGGCGAGTGAAATTGTGTTGACTGTATGTTACGTGTTAAATAAAATTTCTAACTCAAAAATGAATATTACTTATGAAATTTGGAAAAATAAGAAATCAAATGTGTTGTATTTCAGAACTTGGGGTTGTTTAGCTTATGTTCGTAAACTTGATCCAAAAAGATCGAAATTGGCTAGTAGAGCATATGAATGTGTTTTTATTGGTTATGCATATAATAGCAAAGCATATAGATTTTATGATTTGAGAAACCATGTCATAATTGAGTCACTTGATGCTCATTTTTATGAGAATAAATTTCCTTTTAATCTTCGAAATAGTGGGGGTTCTAATTCTTCTAGAATTGATCAACCTACTGTTGTAGAACATAGTGAATCTGCATTAGAACCTAGGAAAAGTAAAAGAGTTCAAATAGCTAAATATTTTAGGCCTGATTTTCATGTATATAACTTACAAGAGGATCCTAATACAATTCAAGAAGCTTTAACTTCTTTAGATGCAGATAGCTATAAATGATGAAATGGACTCCCTGGAGTCAAATCAAACTTGGCACTTGGTGGATCTTCCACCTGGTTGCAAAACAATAGGTTGCAAATGGATTCTTAAAAGAAAAATAAAACCTGACGGTTCTGTTGAAAAATTTAAAGCCCGGCTTGTTGCCAAAGGCTATAGGCAAAGAGAAAATATTGATTTCTTTGATACTTATTCACTTGTGACTAGAATAACATCTATTCGTGTATTGTTTGCTTTAGCTTTTATTCATGATCTTGTTGTGCACCAAATGGATGTTAAAACAACTTTCTTAAATGGTGAATTAAAGGAAGGAATATATATATATATATATATATATATATATATGGATCAACCAGAGGGTTTTATTATTCCAGGACAAAAATAAAGTTTGCAAGTTAGATAAGTCTCTTTATGGATTAAAACATGCTCCTAAACAATGGCATGCAAAATTTGATAGTTCGGTTACTTTGAATGGTTTTTAAATAAATGAAAGTGACAAATGCATCTATTATAAGTCTGAAAATGATATGTGCACTATAATATGCCTATATGAGGATGATTTGCTTATTTTTTGCTCGAACATTCATGTTGTGAATAACGTCAAAACTTTGTTATGTGCTAATTTTGATATGAAAGACTTGGGTGAAGCTAGTGTAATACTTGGTTTGAAAATAACTAGGTCCAAAAATTGGTTTTCTTTAGATCAATCCCACTGCATCGAAAAAGTTTTAAGAAAGTATAATTATTTCGATTGTAAACCAGCATGTACTCCTTATGACCTAGTGTAAAACTGTTCAAGAACACTGGTGACAGTGTTAAACAATCTAAGTATGCAAGTATTATTGGTAGCTTTCGTTATGTTACTGATTGCACTAGACTTGATATATCTTATGCTATAGGAGTTTTATGCAGATTTACTAGCAGACATATTTTGGAGCATTGGCATGCTATAGAGAAGCTTATGAGATACCTTAAAATGACGATGAATTTTAGTTTACAACTCAATGAAATCGAGAGATTCAAAAAGAAAATCACACTTCTCAATGAGACAAAGAGAATGATACCTTTCTCGACAGCTAACTCGTCATGGTTTGGCCGGAAAATGGCCTGAAAGGTCGCAGCCCGACTTGAGTTTCGATCATGACGATCCAGAAGGAAGTTCGAGTTGAGGTTAGGTGTTTCAGGCTCGTGAGGACGAGACGAAGCTCATGGTGCTCTTGGTTTAGGCGATGGTGAGAGTGTTGTCGTTGTTGTGTTTGTGTATGTTGAGCTCAGAGAGAGTAGAGGTGAGAGGGAGAGAAAGAGAGAGAGAGAGAGAGATATATATATATATATATGAGATCCACGGGAAGAAGAATGAGGGAAAAGAGAAAAAAAGGTGGGTAAGAGACCAAAACAAAGGGGTGGGCCCCACTGACACACCAAACAAGACCAAAAAGCAAACATTTAAAATAAGTATCCCAACCAAAATGAAATTACAAAATTGCCCTCAACGTTTCTTAAAATCCTAGAAGGGTTGTTACACTCTACCCACACCCCTAATATGCATCCCAAGTTAAGGGAAAAATTTAGCCATGCATGGCTAGAGATGAAAAATATTTTAGCCTTATAGTACACTTTAAAAATAATTTAGCCCTATAGTATACTTTAAAATATTAATTTTTAATGACTTAAACAAAGTCAAAGGCTCCATGACTAGACATGACCTAATTTGGTAAGGTTTTGAGAGGAATCAGTTTTGAGAAAAATCAAATAAGAGAGAAATCAGCTTGGGACAGAGTTCGAACAATGTTTTGTGAACTAGTTTTGAAATTGGGGAGATAGTGCTTTGTGGCAGTGCAAAAAATCAATCATATTTATGCATTCTAGTGCAAGTTTGATCTCCTCCAGTTTTTATTATCTCCAACAACTAACTATTTAACTCATAATGTTAATTCTCTACTAAAGGAAATTGAAATCAACTTTTGGACAAAATTGCTTGTAATTGTTTGTAAAACTGTTTATTATAAGTGATTTTGATAGTTTTAATAATTGTTTGACAATTAAGGGAAAGTTATTGGGAAATTTGGAAAAATAACCAAAATTTAGACTCTATATAGAATTATAGTCACCCTTTTAAGTTTATGATAATTATAATCAAAAGTTAATATGAAAGTACTGATATACCCTTAAAATGAGTTTTCCTATAACAACCAAAAAACAAAATCCTACAAAAACACTCAAACGTTGATAGTTTTCATTCTTAGGATTCAAAATACATGTAAGAACGCAAAATTCAACTGTCCATATATGTGTGTTTTAGATTCCCAGAGTTTCTCAGCAACCAAACAGAGTATAACAAGGACCCAAAAGTCATATTAGTTGATATCTCTTCTCTCAATTTGTGTTACGTAGATTTCTTTATCTGATAGTTTTCCTACTTTTACTTGTTTGTTCACATGTAAGTCCCTAATGCATTGCGTCAAGGGATGATAAGCCTTTCTCAAGCTTCTACAAATGCAGCAATTCTACTTTTCTGGTGCAAATAGGAAGAGAGAAAAAACACACATGCATAAAGATATGTATGCGAGAGAGAGAGAGAGAGAGGGAGAGAGAGAGAGAGAGAGTTACAAAGATGGTGGTGGGCTGGGCGCTAGCTTCGGTGGAGATGACAGCGGCTGCGGAGTTGATTGTGTCAACGCTATTATCCATGATTGCTTGTGTGATCCAATAAAGCTCGTTGCTTTGCTTTTGGAGCTAAATTCATGTTCTTCTTTTTCTCAAATAAACGACTCTAGCGAAGATTGACTAAATGAGTTTCGAATTCCTTGATATGTGGTCGGAGAATGACAGTTTTCTGGCTAGATTCGACCGACATGGCAAATTCGATCTGAATGAACATTTCTCGAACCTGAATTTTAAAAAATTTCTTTTTGGTTTTATGAGAAAACGCATTCTAAGGGTATGTTAGTAATTTCATGTAAAATTTCGGTTATAATTATTATTAACTTAAAATGGTGGCTATAATTCAATATAAGGTCCAAAATTTGGTTAATTATGCAAATTTCCCAAAGTTATCTTTTGGTGTAAGTCATTTAGCACTATTAGGGGCAGGCGACTCGTCATGGGTATAAAAAAATATTTCAAACTTCTTGCTCCAAGCAACATAGTTGGTTCCACCAAAAAAAGAGGCTTGTAAGGGGATGCTTGTAAAAAAAATGCAAGGATGGATCTAGTCCTTTCATCCCTTTGCCCGTGAAAAAAATGATGCAGGACGGGATTGGGTGTATCGAAAGAATGGGATATAGATGACTTGAGATTCACTCAGCTTAGGGCAATAGAGTTTGCTCGACATTTGTTAATCATGAAGTCACTCAGAATCAACACAACCAAACCTAATACTTGTTTTGAAGGAGAAAATCACTCTTAGATTAATTTTTCATTCACTAATTATATGACTTACATATAGAGCCCTTTTGAATAAGGACATTAGCTACATTGATAAAAGCATCACAAAAGCATATGGTTAAATCTTTCTATATATTATACAAGAATATCCTTGTACTAAAGCCTACCACAATTTCTCCTAATTACACCTTGGAATCCTGTCTTGACACTAATCTGCCCCATTTTTAGAATTGATTCGATGAAATCAGCCTCAAAAGATGGTCCAAAGGGAATATTGAACAAAGGAAAGTAGGAGTCCATTATGCTCCTTGTCATTGCGTCCTCGTTAAGCTTGGCATCAGATTCTAACACAGCGAACCCATTTCTTATGTTCTGCAAAATATGAAGGTCGAATGTTTGCTCGCTTCCTTCGTCGATCGGCAGCCGGATGTTGACGTTGCCGTTTTGAGGGCACCTTTGTTTCAGTTGAGGGAGGAGGTTAGGATTGATGCTTGGATCAGATCCCCCTCCTGGGAAGAAGTTGTACAGCCTTCTTGTTAAAAAGAAGCATGCTGTCGTCCCAATTGTATGAGCAGCTGAAATAAGTAACATTAGAAGTAAGACTTCTCAGCGAAAAGGTATGTAACATCATTAGACTGTATTATTGAATGGCAAAAAAACATGATTAATATGTCTTATATATTGAACCTTTTATTTTGTTAATATGACACATTTACGAATAACTCGTACTATGAGAGATATGTCTACATATTATAATAACCTGTTTGGTGGACTGAATGAGATTGGATTTTAGGGATATGATTAGACTGTAGATATTAGTAAAGCTATGTAAGATAAGACTTGTAAAGTGAATTCGTAACGCATCATGTTTACTATTGACCATCTCACATTTTAACAAAATAAACAAACAGACTGAAAGTAAATATATTTTACTTGGTCACAACCTGTCCTTGAGTCTAATTAATTAGATGTAGGATTATACTATTTACTTGCAGTGATGACTGTTCACTTGGTCGAACTGGTCATGCATGTCAAGTTAACCACACGTTAACTTGGTTTTTCACCAACCTTGGCTATCATCCAACTTTCATGAGAGAGAGAGAGAGAGAGAGAGAGAGAGAGAGAGAGAGAGAGAGTAGTACCAGTGAGAAGGACAAGGTCTTTTTCTGTGAGACCCCTTCGCATAAACTTAGCCTTGAGTTGTTGGATTGAATCACTGACATCCGGCATATCGTCAGCCAGAGACATATTTGATACCACACCATCTCTTCGACCTGTACCCACTTCATATGCAGGGCCACCAGCCTACATGTATATTAATTGTACGAACAAAATTAAAAAACAAGAGTTAATTTTGGGCGCTAAGTGTGTAGCACACTGATCTAACCAACGAATTAAACTCAAGTCCGCGAAAGTGAAACTACCTACCAAGGCTATAGCATCTCTAGCTGCCAAGGCCACAATGTCTGCACAAGAAACGACGCCTTGGCATGCAGCCTCCAACTGTGACTTGGCTTTCTCTATCACTTCGAATCCCCCAACGCCTTGGTGACCAAATGCATGTCTCTCCGCGTTTGCACCATCCTCAATAAGAATTGAACCATCACACCCCTGATCTCATCATGGTATATCATATAAATATATATATATATATATAAAACACAAGTACACAACTTAATTAACAATATGTTAACTTAATTATCATAAGAGATGGTGAGAGATGGATGAATCACCTGGACGAAGCAGTCGTGAAAATGGAGTCGGAGCAAGATTGCTGCAGTATTGGCATCGGAGAGAACGGCATCTCTAACAACGGTACGAACAATGGACTCGGCTTCGGGGCATGTTTCACCGTAGAAACCCACCATAAGCTGCCCGTCAGCCTGAGATAAACCAACCAGAAAGACAAAAGCCAAAGCCAAAACCAATGCCATAACTTAATTAACGGGGCTGACGAATCGAGCAGGTGCAGTGGGAAATGCTACCGACTGAGGCAGAACAGAAAGAAAGGTAATTTTTTATTTTTTATTTTGGACAAAGAGAAAGGTAATTTATATAAGTCAAAAACGCATGCACCAAGCTAAAGCCTAACATGCATATTCTGCTTGACAAGTTTTTTGAGGATAGGACCGCATGCAATGTGTCAAATAGAATGCATGAGCATTTGTCACCTTGCTAATCAATTTTTCGTTTTTTGTTTCTTATTTATAATGAATAGTTATAAATTTATATAATTACAATTCAGCCTTGGTTATTTTTTAACTCACTGCGTTTTAGGTTCAAATTCTTTTTTTTATTTTTTATTTTACTTCAGTGGGAGGATATAAATTTGGGATCTTTTTCTTCTTTTCTTTCTCTTTGACTGGCCACGCTCAATTTCAATTTGTTTACATTTTCCGGCCAAGATAGTTTTTACATCCTGTCTACAAAAAAAACATTTCGACCAACCAAAAAGGTAATTGTCAATTGAGCGTCCATGCTCTGTCCGACTCAATCAACTTACCTAGGAAAAAAGTTTCCGTTGATCAACCTCATCAGCACAAACTAAAATCCCTAAGGAAATCAACACAGTTTAATGCCCATATTATTTAGGTTTGGCTGAAGGCACAAATTAAGATAAGTGTGGAATGTGGGTAAATAACTTTCATTCTTGTCACTCAATACTATTGGTGGTATTCATCTTCACTTGAAAGTAAGAGATCTTAGATTCAACTATCGTGATTGGTGAATTCGATACCAATTTAGGTTATCTATTGTGTGGCTTAGCCGAACTCCCCCTCCATTTAGTGTAAAAATATATTGACAACTTGAATTCGATACCAAATTAGGTTGTTCATTCTTGGTGGCCTGTTAATTAACAGGTTAGTTTAGTGTAACTCATACTTACCCATTTTAATTCGCCTTGTCAACTGGGATTGGACTAGCCAGGACTACTTACTTATGTAATCCCATGTTTTGTCCATGCTGATACTAAGTTAAATGAGACTCGCGTGAATAAGGATAGGCAAATACCCATTGGTTATGGGTAACCGTGGTTATCCGCCTATTTAAATTTGATGGTTACGGTTATGAGTAACCGTTTAGATAAATAAACGGTTATGGGTATAACCGTTTACCTGTGAAATTTAAATGGGCGGTTATGTGTATTACCCGCGGTTATAAACAGGTACCCATTTAACCATTAAAATATGTAAAACTAAAAAAAAAAAAAATTAGTATATATATATGCCTCACTTGAGAGAAAAATATAGTTGATAGAACGAGTCAATGTTTAATATATGTGATTGAATGTGCCAAAGCGTTAAAGTGTTCGACAGTTTTGTTTTGGAGTCTTTTGGGGCTTTGGCCAATTCAAGACAATGATTACTTTGAGTTTTTAGAAACATGTTATTGTCGGCTAATGCGTGTATATATATATATATATATGTATATGTATATATTTAATTGGCCTCAAGTTTTCAATAAGTATTTGACCCAAAAATTAGAAATCAATTAAATAGCTTGGATCGATGAACATATGTTTCTAAATAAAAATCCAAATATTTATCAAATTAGTTTATTAGCAGACTGATGCGTACTTACATACATACATACATATGTATGTATGTATGTATGTATGTATGTATGTATGTATACAAGAATATTAATTAACCTACAACCATGCATGATTCTTATAATAGATTGACCATCAAATAATTGGGAGACATTGCATATATTCATAAATAATATTGCCGTTAATACAAAAATTCATGTTAAATGTATTTAAAACGGTATTTAATTGTTAGAAAAAGAAAATTATGACAAATTTCTTTTTAATTTTCAAGTTGTTAAAAAAATAGGTAGACGAGTGAAAAAAAAGAGTAAACGGGTTTAAAATGGGTAAACGGGTACATGGTTATGGTTAAATGGATATATGGTTATGGGTAAATGGGTATGCGGTTATGGATATGGTTAATTGTTTATAAACGGTTATGAGTATGAGTATACCCGTTTATGTAAATACCCAACAAGTAAACGGTTATGCGGGTAAAAGCGTAAACGGTTATGGGTAGATAACCGCGGTTACCTGCCTGCCATAACCGTTGCCCATCCCTACGCGTGAACTAGATGCCTCGCTAGAAGTTCTTAGTGAGACCCTCCCTAAACCATGGGACTTGCTATGACCCTTTGATTCTCTGCTCCGCTTCGCCCCTTCTGCTTCGCTATTTACGCCTCAGTTTTAGCCCCTCCCATCTTGGATTTCTCACCGTTCAGAAAAAACCCCAAAACCACCTTCTTGTCGTTTTCAAAACCAACTTCTTAAGGGAAAGAGAGTCGATGTGTGGTCGTGTGGTGTGGTGTGGGTGAGGTCAAAGTCGAGACTCAATAGATGAAGAATTAGCCATTAGGGGAGGATAAGAGGCCGTGTTAGGTGATCGGATCATATTTATATATATTTTTACTTCGAATTCACTCGTCTTTTCTTAGTTAGTTCCTTATATTTTTGAGCTATTTACGTTATTTTTGTGTTTATAGGATTTGTTATGCAAAGAAAATAAAAATAGAACAAGTGAAATTTTATGTAATAAATTCGTCAAAACTGTCTGTGTAGATCAGCTTTTAAATTAAATTAAAATATATATAATAATGATAAGTCATGATGATGTTAAACATCATCATGATGGTTTTGTTTTGTAGAAGAAAAGAAAGGAACGGATGGAGAAGAAGAAAAAAAAAAGGGAATAAAAGTATGGAAAGCAAAGGCATACGAGGGAGAAAGAAATCAGAAAAGGAGGGATCCAAAGCGTGAGAGAGGAAAGGAGTAAGCTGCCCTTGCAGCTTTGAGAAGGTCAGAAAAGAGATATAAAAAAATATAGAAAGAAAGGAGAGGTCAGAGAGGATAGAGAGACGGGCAGAGGTCAGAAACAAGAAAGAAAAATATAAAAAAGGCAGGAAGCTGCCTTAGCAGCGGGAAAAAGAGAAGAGAGGGAAGGCAGCAACAGAGGGGGACAGGCGCAGAAAATAAAGAGGATAGGCGCGGAAAAGAACAGCTGCCTGGCAGCTAGTTGGTCAGAGGCTGCACAGAGCAGAAGCACAGAGGCAGAGAGCAAGCTTCTCCTCTTTCGGTTAAAACTTTTCAACTTATATTTTACTTTTGGTTAAATGTTTTAATAATGTGTAACTAATTTTATTTTGGCTAGAGATTAATTCGAAACCATGAATATATTTGTAATATGAATTGATTACCTTCAGTTGTGATTTCTGAGTTGTGATTTAATTTGCTTAACTGCTTGATTGATAACTTATTTTTGTATGTCGATTAAGGATGCATACTTAATTTACATGCATGAATTTGATGCTAGAATATAAGTGAATTTCACCTAATCGTTATGAACTTATATTCACAAGTAGTGAAGGTTGTTATCCACAATCGTGTTAAGTGAATTCTTGGCAAGAGTATCATGCTTTTCATAGTTACGAATGCCTCGTCAATGCTTATAGTTTTCACAAAGTTTAATGATCTTTGATTGTATCTCTATTGTGCTTTTCACGTAGGGGACTTTTGAAGAATGTTTTGAATTGTTGTATGCGTTTTTCCCGTCCAATTCAATAACTTAAGGAAAACTTGAAGATTAAAAAAAAGTGCTGTTCACGGTTAATCTGAAGTGTTGAGATTCACAACTTATTGAAAGAACAACTGAAAATCAATTTAGGTTGCATATGTGTCATGTGTAGAGAAGAACCCTCTAGCTAGTCCGTCATTTATCCTTTCACCTTAATTTCATGTTTTTGTCAATTCTGTAATTTATTTAAGTTTAATTTACTTCTAGTCAAAACCAAACACCCTTCCATTATTAAATTATATTATTTAGTTAGTTTTCATTGTTGTTAGTCTTTTAATTCAATTTCCGTCCATTTCAGTTCCTAGTGTCTAATTTGATTGTTTTCATTATTTTGAGTTATCCTAAGTGTGTTTCGAGTTATTAGAGTTTTTAGCCTAGTTTTGTGTCCTTGAGTCTTATTTAATATTTTTAAATTAATTTAGAATAGATTAGCAATCCCTCCTAATCCCCGGCCTAGAACGATACCCTACTTACATCCATACTACAATTGTCAAAAAGAGGGTTTAATTTGTGTGTCAAGAAATTCTCACATCAAATTTTGGCGCCGTTGCCGGGGATTAGCAAAGTTGCTAATCCCTTGTCTTGAGTCTTGTTTAAATTGTTTAGTTTTTTTTTTATTTTTTTTATTTTTTTTTTATTTTTTATAATTACCCTGTTTTGTTTACTTATGATATTTGATTTAGTTTTATTTCTTTGATATCAGGTACTAAAAGAAGTAAGACATGGCAATTGCTAATCTTCAAGCTCAAATGGCAATTCTTACTTCTCAATTGTCACAGTACATCGAAAGGACCACAATACAAAGCACCCCTACATTCGATGTGTCCTATACGCAAGGATATCAAGCAGATCAACATCCACAAAGGAGTTGGGAGAGTTATCATGATCATAATCAATCAATGAACAACTTGTTTTCCAACACGTATAATTCAGATTGGAGGGATCATTCAAACACTATGTGGTGGGAACCTCAACCAGTTCAACACGAAGGATATTGGCAGCCATATAATGAGTTCTATTCAAGCCCTGCTCAGCCACCACAACCTCATACACAATATACCCAACCAAACTCAGGTTCGTCAATAAATTATGAACAAATTCTTAATGAATTAAATTCTTTGGCGCAGGGCTCACAAAATCAAGCCAAGGAGGCTCAACAAGGAGAATATTGGCAGCCATATGAGGAGTTCTATACAACGCCTATGCAGCCACCACAACCTGCCCCGCAACAATTCCAATCAAATTCAGGTTCGTCAATAGATTGTGCTCAAATTCTTGATGTACTAACTTCTTTGACGCAGGAATCACAAAATCAAGCCCAAGTGATGAGCGAATTGAAGAATCAAATGGGAGAGATCGCGGAATTCATGGGGCAAATGCAAGAACAAAGTGAAGTAACTGACTCAACTGTTGAAATTATTGAAGCTATCAACTTGGAAAGTGGCATAGAGGTTGGAGATGAACCCAAGATGTCCAAACCAAGCCAAAACATGGATGAACAGTTACTGCTCGAAGAAGAGGAGGATAACAAGGCCACGGCAAAGGAAGAACCACCATTGCTGCAGCCTACCCTAGCCCCAACACCCTTGCCGCAGCCCCATATGCCCTCTATGCAGTCCACTACAACCAAGGTAAGCCCAAATTCAATTCGTCCTGACCCCGTTCCACTAAATGTCTTTATTCCTTGCAGGATCATGCAATCCAAGGAAGAAGAGGGTGAGAAAGGCATCTTTGAAACCTTTCCAAAGAATCAAGAGAAAGAAGTGGATGGGGAATGTCTAGAATGCATCAAAGAGGATGTGCTTGAGACAACCATTCCTAAAGAAGTTGAATTTTATGACATGGGACAAGTCCCAACCATCACATTCAATCTGGCCAAGTCCAATATCCCTGAAACTTTCAAAAATGTGGTGTTTGTCATTGAGTTCTTGTCGGACAAAGCAAGTAAGCCATCTTCTCCAATTTCGATTTTAGTATATACTAACTTGTTGATTTTGATGATTCAGGCACCTACACTAGAATTTACACCATTGCCGGATCACGTCAAGTATCACCGTCCATTCAATGATCAATTCCATGCTATGGGCCCTATCCAAGTTTAGAAGGAAGTATCGTCCGGCTGCAAGACGTTAAAGAAAGCGCTTCTTGGGAGGCAACCCATGTATTCAAAAAAAGGAAGATCTATGAATCGCTCTACAATCAGTTTTGCGTTTCTAAAAACCTTCACTTTTCTGCATTTTTATTTTGCCATGATTGTCAATTTTTTTATTTTTGTTTATTTAATTATTTTTGGGTGTGGGTTTATTTTTGAAACATTGATAGATATGCAAGATATTCTTAAATTCTTTTTCATGAAAAAAAAAAAAAAACTTAAACTTAAAAATATTTTACAATGATGTGTGAACTAATAGCATTCATTGGTCAGGTGGTGCTTCAGTAGTCGGCGGAGCTTCAGCAGTCGGCGGGGCCACGGAAGGAGGAGGTATCTGAGGTTGATCAGTTGGAGCTTCACTACGCGGTGTCGCCCCAGAAGACGAAGGCAGATGCGGTTGGAACAAACCCACAAACCTTCGGTGATCAAGTAAAATCTGACCATCATTTTCCTGCAGCTGGTCAATTTTCCTCTTCATGTTTGTGGCATAACTGTGTGCAAGCTTATGCAATTGTTTATTTTCATGCTTGAGTCCTCTAATCTCCTCTTTGAGACTCTGTATTTCAGCCACCAACGATTCAACGTGACGGGTTCGGGCAAATAGGCGTTGGGCCATGTTGGACACGGAACCGGCACACTGCACGCTAAGAGCCAGAGACTCCTTAACCGCCAATTCATCAGACCGTCTAGCGAGCAGTCTGTATCTCTTGGGGTGACAAGGTTCCGGGCCACCACCGCAGCTGTCATGTCATTTTTCATCACAGAATCTCCAACGGTAAGAGGACCGGTAGGGGATATGAAAGATGGGCGCCATATGTTGTCTGGTGAAGGCGGAGCTGCCTCTTCACCAATGTTCAAGTCAAAACGACGATCGGAAGGGCCAGACATTTTCTGAAGGTGGTGAAGAAAGAAGAGAGTCGGACTGATCAAGATTAAACAAGTGCAAGAAGGGAGTGTTTACAGGAGGGAGCTCAAGTGTGTTGTGTAACAAAATTAACGCCTCTATAAAAAGAAGAAATCAAAGAGGCGCTCCTCAGAGAAGCGTCCTCTCGCAAATCGAAGAGTCGGGGCTCCTTTCTCAAAAGCCGGATTCTTTTCTCAAAAGAGGCGTTTCATTTCTTAAAGGCTGGGCTTGCTCAGAAACCACGAGCCGAACCCCGGATTTCAAAAGATCAATTTGTCCAGACGTGTCGTCACTTGTCACACGCAAATTGCTTTGCAAAAATCTCGGGCAGTTTGTCGAAGCACCAATTCAGAAATCGAAGAGGGAAATTCAACAGTCAAAGACACGTTAGCTTTCTCAAAAGCTGGGCTTCAACCCACGGGCAAATCTTCTTTTCCAGATTTATCCGCACGTGTCACATGCTACCTCTACAATCGACGATGCTCAGAGCTCGAAGCGCCGATTCCAGATATCAATGAGGAATCTGCTTTGCGGAAATTACGGGCAGCTTTGTCAGAAAGCGCGTAATTTGTACTATTCATCCATCCACCGGCTGCCGACAATGAGTGAGGGAATAGTTCCGGTTGTGAAGAAAAGTCCCATAAGTATCTACCTTCGCCTTCCACAGCAAAGGCACACCCTCTCAGCACTTCTTCATCTCCGAGAATGCATTCCCAAATAACCCTCTCGAGTCACACTGTATTCCTCATTCTCTGGGATACCCCTGCAAACAACCCATCCAAAGCAAAAGTATTTCATATCATGAAGGTTGAAAGCAAGAGTATCTCATATCATGCATTCTCCATGTCCTTTTCCTTGTCTTTGTTCTAACCTGCAGGACATGGAGAAATTGCTCTCGAGTACTCGTCTTCCACTGCTGATGTACTTCCAAAGAAGCTGCCACATCTACCTGAAGAACAGATAAGGCAAGCGAAAATGACCAGCAGCATGTGGAGACAACGTACAGAAGAAACAAGTAGAGAAGAATGCAGCTCGTACAATCATCCCAGTGGAAGGAGTCTGAGCTGAAGAACTAGAGAAGCTGCCACATCTGCTTGGAGAACAAATAAGGAACTGCAACATCACCAAAGAGCAAAGCTTCGCCGTACAATATCATCAAATCATCACTTGCACGTAAAAAGCTAAGTGTCACCCTGTTCAAGAGGAAAGCTGTGGAAAGTCAACAAGCACGACCAATGATCACTTATTAGTTCTATTCATTGTCTTTTATCGTGATTTTCAATTTTTCGTTTGCAATTTTTTTTTATTTATTTTTTATTATTATTTTATTTTCTTGCGTTACTTAACTGAATTATTTCTTTTCTTTGCAGAAACTTTTGGTTATTTCCACCCTTGAAGTTGATTGCAGAATTTTATCTTGGGGGTCATCGCTTGATTTTACTGCAAATTAGGGAAGTTTTCAGTCCAATTGCTTTATTTTGTTTCTTATTATTTATTTATTTTATTTTATTTGCGTTATAGTGTTTTCTGACATTGGGGACAATGTCAAGTTTAAGTGTGGGGGTAGAAATCTCTAGAA